TGATTTGATCTTATTTGAAAACGTATATATGGAAGCACTTAATACATTTATTTAAAAAAGTTTCTAAAAAAGGTATGCATTAAATGTTACCAAAATAATTAACTACTATTTTTAGTAAATGGTTATTCTTATTATATATATATATATATATATATATATTTCAAATTATTTTTAATGTATATATATTGAGTTTTATATAAATTTTTGTTACCCAAATAATAAAAATATGTTTATACAGAACAACACTAGACTACTTTATAAATTCAAACAAAAAAAATACATATTATATACTTATATGAAAAATATAACAAACACTAAAAAAATATTACAATAACACTACATCTAATACATATCTAAAATATAATCACATGTTTACTTAAACATAAAAATACATCTATTAATCCCCCTATATATAATTCCCGAATGCGCTGAGCCTACGTGGCTGCTTCTGGTGTTTCAGAATCCTACTTGGCGAAGAATCATGCTTTGTAATTAGGTTTGGACAAATAATATTGATATATTAATAATTAATAATCTAGGTTCGGTAATCCCATAAATATTATTTAGCTAACTTAGGTATTTTAATATCACTTGTACTAATTGTTGATGCCAAAAACCGGACGATCAACGGTTAAATAATAATCGAATTTCTTGTATGAAAACGAAGAGCCAAATAATTAAAAATGATGTTTCTTTTTTATTTTAGAGAGAAATTTTCTCTCTTTTTTGGTAGTTAGGGAAAGAAGAATGGGGAGAATGAAGAAGAGAGTCCACTCTTTACTCTTTTTTTCACATATTTATATTCCCCCACTATTTAATTACAAGTGGGTTATTAAATAAATAAAAACTAGTATACTATTATTTAATGAGAAATAATTATCGTGGGACCCGCTTACAACTTTTGACGATTCCAATTGACGTCCGTCGTTTCAACAATTGTTGTGTTTGCCGAAGGCGACTTTTTCATGATATGTGGGTCATCTGGTTTTTTTGAACTTTGTTCGGCTCGGCAGTGGATGGACTCGACATCGAGGGATCCAATCGGCTTTCGCGTGATTAGTCTTGAGAACCTGTTTGTTTGGACATTGGGCCGTATTTTTATATTTATATTTATTAATTAATCGGAGCCAAATTAGATATCAACACTAATATAACCCTTTAATTCTTTGTAATTTTACATAGTAAGGCACTAAGTAACTAATATATCCCTGACTTTTGATTTGCTTCCTTCAATTAGCTACTGAATTGTAAATGTATTTTAAAAGTTGACAACTTTTGTATTTATTATCTTTTACATATATAATATATCAAATTAATCATCTTTTGATTATTTTCATTTGACATCCATATTGTATATATGAAATAAATAAATTATATTTATCTTTATAATAATAAACAAATAATAATATTTATTAAAACTCATTAGATAAATAAAAATTATTTCTTAATTGATATATTTATGTATAATGTAGTTTTATGTTGTAAGTTAAAACAAATATTATAATATAATACATGTAAGCCGCACAAATAAAAAGTATCATACTAAATGTATAATAATATATATATTTATAAAGGTATTTAAATTTTCAACTATTTTTTCTCATTAATTTTAGATTTTAAGAAAAAAATTAACAAATACTCGTATAATACACAGGTGTTGTACTAGTGTACATTATACAAAAACTACATTTCATCACTAAAGATGCATTGTTCATTTTATAATAGGAAGGACACTTTATTAGGCAATAGACTCTAAAAATACACAAATATTCTTACTTAAAACAAATCATAACATAAGATTGCAAAACGATGCCGTCTTGATCACACTTTCTCATCTTTTCCTTGGTGCCATTGGACTAGACAATCAAAATCTATTATAAGAATCTTTTTCATTTCTTTTTTGTTTTCTCACTCAAGTCCCCATCAACTTTTATGCCCTAAAAATAAATAATTGAATTACTAAATACCGCCCCTCAAAAAGACAAAATTGCCCTTACTAATAAAAAAAAGTAGTGGTATGCCGACTCCTGCTTTAAAATTAGATAAACATATCTTTATACAGACAAAAAAAATTCCAAAGGAGTGGATGGATATCCTTTATTAATAAAAATAAATAAATTAATTAATTAGTTAATTGAGAAAGAAAAGCCTCTTTTCAAAATTGGTGACTATGCACCAAATCATAAAACCATCCACACCAAAAGCATATTACTTTTGCCCCAAACTTGAGCAATAATTACATAAACCACCATTAACTTTGGACAAATTACAAAAGAAACGCGCTATCTTTGTAATGTCAAAAGATAACTGGACCTTTTACTATGTAAGAAATATTAAAACCCGTGTTTATTGTACAATATTCTCGATGTTTTCGAATGTACTTGCCGAGTTTGAGATGAAAATTGTTTTGAAATATTGTCAAGATTTGGTTTAAGCTGAGCGACCGACTTGTGGTCTGCCTCTTATTATTTTGATTAGCGAGTGAGGAACCGAACTTATGGTTGCCCACTTGGCTTTTTATTTTCTGTTCGACAGTTGTTGTAACGCCATTCTTTATCTATATATTTACCATTTATCGATCAAAAAAACTAAATGTTGAACAGTTTTTGTGAAACAACTCACTGTGATCATCCAAGAAAACCCACCATTTGACAAAGACTTGAAAAAGATAACCAAGAATTTCACACAACATCCACACAAAACACAAAAGAAGAAATTCTTTGCATGTCCCACAATTCATAAACAACTTTTACATATTCCATCTCCATTCTAGAATACATTCCATATATTTTGATTCTCCATTCACTCTCCCACAATGTTCATCAATCACAAAAAAAAAAAAAAAAAATAAAAAAAAAAAAAAAAATCTAAGGTCTTCTCCTCCATTGTTCCACAAGCCTCTGATGATGGTTCCTGAAATGGAGGTATGTCTTAAAACACAAATTCATACATACATGTTCATATAGTATGGTAAAAGAAAAGTAATATTCTCATCGTTTTCTTGTATCCCTTTTCGATTGTCGATTATTGTTTTTGTTATCGTTTTGTCCATGTATATGCAGAAGAAGCCTAGAATCACAGAGATAAAGGTCCGGATGGACTGCAATGGGTGTGTTCAGAAGATCAAGAAGGCTCTCAATGGAGTTGCCGGTAAGTATTTTCCTACTTTTCTTGTTCTACAGTACACAGGGTGGGGCAAGATTGGTCTTCTAAAATCTGCTCGTGATAATCTCACTTTGTTCAGACAACCTTTGAATTTTCGATGAATTGAAGAATAACTGAGGTTTTTCAAAGTAATGTGATGACTTTTGCCATGTGGGATTCAAAAGGGACCAATCTTGCCGCACCCTCATCAACTAATATTGCCATTTACCGAACAGCAGACCTGAGTTTCAGTTTCTTCTCTGACAAAACTATGTGGTTATGTACCTCACAAGGCATATCCGATATGTACATCGATTTCCCTAAGCAGAGTATCACGATAGTCGGGTGGGCCGACCCAAAACAAATCATAAGAGCCATCAAGAAAACAAGAAAAAACGCAGTCATCTGCCTACACACAGAACCACCACCCTCACCAGAACAACCCCCTGAGGAACGGGCCCCACAGCCCGAAAACACAAACCAGCCACAAAACAAACCCACACAAACCGATCCATCACCCCCTGAGCCACCAAAAGAACAGCAGCAGCAGCAGCAAAAGCCGCCGCCGGAAAATCCATCACAGCCACCGGAAAATCCATCACCACAGCCGGAAAATCCATCACCGTCGCCTTGCGAGCCCGAGCAAGGCCCAAAATCCGAAACTGCTAATAATGCCAAACCAAGCCATTCCGGACAACCACCTTCTCAACCAAAGGATCACGAAGAAATACACGTAATATACCACCACCCACCTGACTACGGCTATCGGTATGACTACGGCCCGAATTTCCAACAAGGGTATAATAGTCATTGGAATCCTTATCATGGAGGCCCACAATTCAGAGAAGGCCCGTCTCATCCACCTCAGCCTGTTTATGTGACCCACAGCTATAACACATACCAGCCATCACCCAACATCACTGAATATGCATATACCCATTCACCGCCAAAATACTCACGTTATGGAGTGCCAGAAAGTTATACGCGTTATAGTGTGCCAGATGACTATGCACGCTACAGTGCGTCGGAAAATTATGGTCGGGATTATTATTACGATGGTAACAATGGGAATGGAAATGTGACATCGATGTTCAGTGAGGAAAATCCGAATGCATGCAGTATAGTGTGAGGCGGAAAAGAGGGGGTTTATGCATGAAAAGGACATGGGAGTTTGATTTTGTCTGCAAGAGGGATCATTGTTCGGAAGTTGATGGAGAAAATAAACGAACTTTTAAAATTTTGTGTCAGTAACAACAACAATGTTATGTTTCATGCAATTTGTTTTCGGACAAATGAACTCTTATCTTGTAAAGGGCATTCTAGATGTGAACTGTGATAGATACATTGTGAAACCCTTCTTAAAGATAGTTCATATCACCTTCCTTATTTTGCATATTCAATTACTAAATGGGATAAAAACAACCTCATTCTCACACATGATTTGTAGACGTATATTTAAAATCAGTTGTGTAACGTCACATCAATTCATGGTAGATATTCTCTGGAAAAGTTTTTCTCTATTCACTCACAGCCTACTCTCATGAGAAGGGTAAAATCGTAAGTTGTCTATATTTTCTCACACAAATAAACATCATGGCCAGTGTATTAATAATATCCAACCGACCTGTGTATAAATTCACCTTGCGTTATGCAAACTAATAAATCAACGTAGAAAAATAGATTCAATACCACCATCATAATCTAAAATACATGTCATTTGTAGAACTCTTTTTTTTTTCTCAGCCTAAAATTGTTGTTCTTGCAGGTAAGTTTTCAATACTGAGAAACAAAATTGCATACAAATTATAAAGAACAAATTAAGGACATAATGTGCTTGTTCTATTAAGAAAACGCACCTAATCACTATCACTGCCCGTTTGAGAATCTTCATCGATTCCATAAACGACTTCATCGGCCTCTTCATCTTCACTTTCGTCCTTTTGCTCATCTCGTTCCACGACAGGTTGTTTGATATTTGAGGCCCTGTTAATCTGCCCACCAAAATAACAAAAATAATAATATATTAACATAAGAAAAGAAAAAAAAAGGATTGGGAAAGATTTTATTTAAAAGGACAATGCTACCTCAAAAAATACCTGAGCTGACACAAGTTGCAGACGACCAGACAACTGGAATAAAGAATTTATGGCTGAACCTCTTGATTTGGCAACCTGAAGAAGAAAATAACGCAAATTAGATGTTATAGTTATATATAATGACAAGATGAATAATCAGAAAGACAATATAAAATTAGTTATCTTATTATAATCAGAAAGACAATATAAAATTAGTTATCTTATTACAATAAGTAAATAAAAACTTTTATTTTTACCTTATACAAATAGTCGAGGAGTTTGGGTTCCTCAGATTTGATATAATCACCGTGATAAACTAATATGCAACATATCCATGGAAGAACATGCTTGGCAATGTGGGATCTGACAAAAGAGAAAATTAATCAATTGCGAACAAGAAACAAAAAAAATCACGTGCCTTAACAGAAGTGAATTACAAGGTCGGCAAACTTAAGTGACAGGGTTAAAACAGAGAAAAAGTATGTGCATGTGTGTGTCTGTGTCTGTGTTAATATTCCAACACCCTTTTTGACCGTTTCTCTGAAAATGGAGATATTTTAGACGCCATACCTGGACTGCCAAACATTTACCAAGCTTTTTAACTGGGTAAGTGCATCACCAGATTCCATAGACAAGACAGTGGCTTTCAACTATACAGAAATCAAAAAAATAATAAAAAAAATTGCATTGTAAACACAGAATTGGTAATAAAATGGAACTTTATCAGGGGGTGAAGAAAAACCTTCTTATGAGGCGTGGAGGAATCAAGATCAATGCCCTTGAACCATTTAGAATCCATTGTTGAACCAAGTGCATCATCAATATTTCCAAGTATCCCTAAGGATCTTAGACGGTCCTCCATGCAGAGAGTCGCCTCATCTAAATCACCTTCATCTGCATCATCCAATAAGCATGAGCCACGTGAAAAAATGGTGATGACATCATTATTATCTATATTTCTTTCTTTCATAATTGCATCAGAAAATTTATTCCCCAGGTGGGAAGCAGGTAGGAATAGGAAAATACAGGGGTGAAAGAGTTTTCTTTTCCTTTTTTCTATCAAGACAAAGTAATTGATGCAATTATAATAAAACAGGATTAATAAATATAGGAAGAAGCTCGTTTGCGCATAGCCGCATACCATTGCTTCCTACGGCCGTTGCTCCAACCTTTCCATCTTTGAGACCAAACATCTTAGGCACAGGAAGTAGAGCCCCCACAGTGCTCGAACTATCTAGAGCAGTAACTGTTGATTTCCAATAGAAGTCGTTACAACAAACGTACATAACTGCAAAAGTTAAATATAGCATAGCGCTACACTGACAAGCAAATGGTTTGAATCAAAGGATGACAGGTGGACCAGTTTCGGATTTTCTGATTACAGTTAGTGTCACCATAGAATCAAATTTACAAGATAATGTGTTCATATGGGTCGCAATGCCTTGAACCAGTTTACTATGCAAGATATAAAAAACAAGAACTATATAAGAGAGAAACAACAATTCTGTTCGTCTAACTTAGCATGATGCGTACTTACTGCAGAATAACCAAAATTCTAAAAGTAAATAATCTTGACTTGCCTTGACTCGGCATGCCTGATTCTGTTTCACTTTTGTGCGACTTACTCACGGGCAAAAAAGCACCATCTTGCGAAACATTTAATTTTACATCCGTCCCAGATTGCACTACAACTTTCTCAAATGAAGGTTTTATGATAAAACCATGGGCAAGAAATATGTGACCACCAGCGGTAGAGGAAACACTCTGCAATTTTGCTGCAAATACATTAGGAATAGTCCCTCTGCTTTTCTTTATAACCCCATCATCAAATTGTACATAGATTTTTGTGGGTTTTGAATAACGAAGCTCGTCAACGGTCTTTCCATGCCAGAAATAGCAAACACCCATTTCTGATACGGCTAGAACAGATAGGCCCGTATTTTCGTCATTGGAACACCACGTATCCAAGAAGACAGCAGGGTGGTCCATTGCAAGAATAAAAGACGATGATTTTGTTTTGGTGCCATCAATTTTCCACACTGCAATATATCGTTCACCCTGAGCAGACGAAAGAACATATTTTCCATCTTCTGAGAAAACCATACATTTTACAGGGACCTGTTAAAACAATAACAGAAAAATAATATGAATGATAAATAAAATATAAACTTAATATATAAAACGAAATCCGATTAGTCAAAATGAGATGAAAAACTGATGTTGGAATCTCACAGGATGACCAGAAAATTTCTGCAGTTTTTTATGGTTTGACGAATTGAGAATCTTCAATTGACCTGCTGCAGTTGCTACCATTTTGCCGTCTGATTTGAAGCAAGTCACAAAGGTGTCAGTAGGGGGAAAAACTATTTCAACTAAAACTTCAACATGGAACTTTGTGTAGAACTCCGAGAAAGATGACGTAAAATGATTTACAGGCCTTACAATACAACATATTATTCAACTGTCTGTGCTAGTATCAGACAAATACTAAATCCCTACACTCCACTAATTTCAGAGTAATCAACACCATGTTATCTGAAGATCATAACTGGATATTAAAATTCTCGTTATTTAAAAACACTTGGGCTGAAATGCACCTTTTTACTTTCAATGCTAGGTTATCAATTATTAACTTCCATGGTCAATTCTCGAGATTCTAAGCATTCATTACATGTATCACATCCTCCATTAAGCAAAAATATTAACAAGCAAACAAGAACATTTTGTTGACAAGAATTATATTACTAAGATGAAAAATGTACAATAGTGAAAAACAAAAGAAACTATAGAAAAATACCTGGGGAAATAGCTAGAGAAGATATTGCACTTGAAGTAGAGCTAAACTTGTTTAATAAGTTTCCAGACATGGACTCGATTTCACAAACCATTCCATCAGCACCAGCAGTATAAACACATGAGGCGGATGAAGGTGCAGAAACAGCACTGACTCCCCTACACATTGTCATGCAGCATAGCAAATGTATAATTAGATTAACAAGTCACCATCATTCAGCATTCACAAAAACACATATTCATCCAAAATCCACCTCAAATTTGAAGATGATTACATTAGAAAGTTCAGCAAATAGGTCTATTATATTTCTCTATGATGATAATTCCAAGTAATGGAACACTACAGTCCCGTCTGATATAGACCAAGCCATCTTATACTTCCAGGATACGGAATACATGAAACTACCCATGAGGTTTAGACAACCAAGCCACAAAAATCTCCAGCTAATCCTTAAGAATAAATTAAGCCCCCTTCAGGTTTTTACGAAAACCCTCTTGCAGAATACATTTTGCTAAACAAGTGACCTTCTTTGAGGGTAAAGTTTGTCTAGTAGACATGAGTAAAATCCCAAGTAGTTATTCAGTTAGTCTAAAAATAGCTTGCCTTTACCTATGGATATTTCCCTAAATCAGACAGAACCAACCTCAAGGGTATCATTTTATCATTGAAAGTAGAAGATTTAAAGAAATTTATCAGACTCAAAAGAGAAACATTTTTAAGTGACAAAACTCACCCTGGGTGACAATTGTTAACCCTCCACTTCAATTGACCAGCAGAGACATCCAATGCAAGAACATCACCACCACCAGTTCCCAGCACCAAAAGGGAGCATCCAAGTTTTCTTTTTTTCTAAAATCATTTGGCACAATAAAAGGCACTTTCAGAAACTAACTCCATTGGTTGACAATGGGAAAATTGCAACTCAACTAAATACATACATGACTCGGCACAAAAAATGTCAAACCTTTTTATCCAAAGGTAGCCACTTCATACATGTGTAGTCCATTGAAAGGTGCCCTTCATCTTTTTTCCCGAATATACTTGTCTCGTTTGAAGCAATATCTACAAACTCAGTCTGGACTTGACCCTTTACCGTGTCCCATATCTGAAAATCCGCAAATACATTTCCGAATTATTAAAACAATTAAACACTATGCAGTCCCACTATCTAATTCTCATGTACCTCCATGCCCTCTTTTTCTTTCTCTACCCACACATACATTACTGGGGCTACTAAACATAAATGTTGATACATCATATAACAATCCAAAGTGAAGTCCAGGGCCGTGAACCAAGCCTATTATCTTAGAAAAATTGATGATTTTCTATCACTGAAGCACAAATATTCTATATCATGAGCTCATTAAACTTCAAACGAAAGAAGACTACAACTCATTCTAGTCTAATTCAGAATGATACATTCAAGAACAGAAGACAAACTACAAAAAGTAAGACGCTACCAACAGCAATAATTCCGCAATATTTGTGGTCTTTTTAAGCTTTCAAAAATATGCTGAGGAGAATAAAGAAGGTACCTTTATTCGGCCATCGGCAGTACTAATAGCAAACAAGTCCAGGTTCGGACTAAACGAACTGAGGATGCCCTTAATATGTGATGACCTCATTTTCTTCTCTTGGAAGCTCGGACCAGAAAGAATGGAATCAGGGAAAACAAAATTGTGCAGATTCTAAAGTGTATGCGGGATTTTCTTTCTTTCTCTAGGTATGTTCAGTTCAAACGCCGCGAGTGCGGAAGGCAGGCCTTGTGGAGCGCAACCGGGAGGTGGTGGTGGAGGCGGCGGCGCGAAAGCTGCAAAATTTGTGCTTGTTGAGAGGTGCTGGTGGATACGCAAATTTGAAACCCACAAAAAATGGGAGTATAGAGCCCAAATATTAAGTGAGCAAAATATAATGGGCCCTAAGCAATGTAACTCATAATAAGAGGGGAAAATTACATACATGACATCCCTAGTATGTATATTTACATATTTACGAACGGGGCAAATATTAATTAGAACAGTGTAAGGATGTGAATTTTATATCAAATCTACGAGATTAGAAATAAGACGCCAAATCTTTCTCTCTCTCTCCATATATTGATACATGTCATTAATTCTCCTAAATCAACGCATTAGAAACGACAGGAAAAAAAAGAAACAAAAAAGAAAGGAACAAACATGTTGCAGTCCCAAAAAAACCAAACCGATAAGCTGGAAAAAAAATTTTGATCGGTGTTATTTGTGAAAAAGAGATCGTGAAATAGCCGCTGAGACAACTTT